TATTAATTTCTGATATGCCTTTCTTACAGACATTTTCATATAAATAACTATTTCTTGTTGCTAAATCCAGCCGAACTTTGTGGCTTTGCTTTGCTATCTGGGCAACTGCTAGTAAAATCAAGGAAAGATTAAGTGCCAGTGCCTACTTCTCATAAGAAATCCTCCTTCAGCTAGGAAGGAATGCTGCCCGGGACAAAATGATAATTTAAAGCAACATTCCAGTGATCTGGAATCAATATCTGAATGCTGAGGAGCAGGTGATTTTTCCTTCTGGTATATACAGTATCTTGCAATGTGGGGTGTCACATTTCTCACTATTAAATGGTCTTTTCTGGGTAATGGGACATAAAAGCCTGTTATTTTTTGTATAGATGAAGGTTCCACATTACAAAAGCATTGCAAGTTTGTTTTAAAGTTGTTTAAAAATCCATATGTTTTGGAATAGAGTTGCTCACCTTTGTGGCAGGGTGATCCCTTTGTCCTCTTTGTGGAAATCTAACTGAATTTAACAGATTTCTAAATATTTTGGCAAAAAGAAAGGTAGCCATTCTCAGGTATTCAGTGCAGGCTTTACTAGAGTTTGATAGCTAAAATTTCCAAGGTCTCTCTTCCCAGGAACATAGCTCAGTGGGGCATCCACATGCCAACTACATAGAGTAACTAGATATTTTTCAGGTCAGGGCTATGTGGAATCATGGTCATTTCCATTACAAAACCCACAGGGAAGGCTCAGCCAGTGGTGCATGCAAGAGCAGGAAACCCTTTCTTCTACACTGCTGGCAGATGCATCTGGGATCCAGGAAGGAACTTGACCTGAATGTAGAGGAAAGAAAAGAGGAGTGGGAAAAAAGGAAGGGTAAAAAATCAGGACTAGATGCCATTGATATGGTAGAGGAGAGAGAAATAGTGTCTGGGAGGTAAGGGGATGGAGGATGATTGAGTAAGGGAGAGCTGGAAGTCAATGAGAAAAACACAGGGAATGGAAATATGTTTGGCTGGGTGAGGGGACACAGAGAAAAGAGGTCCTCTTGACTGGTCGCTGGCTGATGAGAAGAAGGAAGAAAGGAAAGGAAAGGAAAGGAAAGGAAAGGAAAGGAAAGGAAAGGAAAGGAAAGGAAAGGAAAGGAAAGGAAAGGAAAGGAAAGGAAAAAGGAAAAAGGAAAAAGGAAAAAGGAAAAGGAAAAAGGAAAAGGAAAAAGGAAAAGGATGGGATTAATTTGGAGAAAGAATCTGCTTTTACCAGGAGACAGAATGGGGAAAAGTGCAGAGACAGAATTTGGTGGGAGTAACCCACAAAATCAAGATCCAGAAGAAGTGCTTAGGCTTATAAGGCCTGGGACAAGCAGATGTGGAAGCCTAGATGGGTAGGAAGGGCTGATTAAAAGTGTATGTGAAGCTGGCATTTTGGGCAGCATGGAAGAGAATGAGGAAACTGAGACTAAATAACTAGGCCTTGTTAATTAAGAAGAATGAAAAAAAATCATGTTGATTTAGGGCAGGTTATTGAGTTTCCTTGAGCAAAAGAATCATTTGAGGAAGGAAGTCAAGGAGATACTGGGAGTTGAACAGTGAGTTTGGAAGATAAGGAACCAACCGTAAGCTGAGAAAACAGAAAATTGGACCATGCGGGTGGGTGAGCAAAAAGACTGGAGAATTAATAAAGCCCTGACACTAAGAAAGGAAATTACAAGAACTTCTCCATACTCAAACTGCTCTGCAAATGCTCAGCTCAGAGCTCCTGTGGCTAAGATCTGTGTGCCAGTTCTGAAGCTCCATGTGATGTTCCTTTAGAGAAGTATGGTGTGGTAGGAAGGAGCCCTACAAAACCATGCACAGACACATTCTTGAACATGTATTGTGTGGACTAAAAGCCAAGCTCTAAAATATGAATGAATTCCAATTGCAGTAGCACATAAAACTTAATTCAGCCCCACTGGTGCAATTGGATGTGCTATTAGACTATACTTTCCATTATTGCTGTGAGTGCCACTGGGAAATTGCAAACCCAAGGCCAGGCTGGCATACAGTTTGCTCTGTGCTCTGCAAGGGGTGAGTTCATTTCACTGGCATAAGGATGACTGGACCACATCCTGAAGTGGCCACAAGTATCCAGCTGTTCCATAATTCTGCCTTCACATTGTTTGGGGTCCTCCTAGAAAGTATCCTGCTATCTCTAGCAGAAGGTACATGGTGTTGCTGAAGTCTTGTTGACCTGTACAGTGAGTGACAGGCCACATGTGAGCGCGTCCATCTACTGCAAGTAGGGAAGGAGAAGCATCGTTGCCGTATTCCCATTCTTTTTCCCAGGAAAGGATTATGTGTGTCATGCAGCAGAGCAGGGAGTACACACACATATGTGCTTGCATACTCGTCTATACAATTATGCCTTGGAAGAGAAAAATTCAAGGAATAGTCCTTTGCACTAAAAAGTTTGGGATGATCTGTAGGCCTCCTAAGAGTTATTCCACAGCCTTTTGTTGCTCATGGAAATTCTACCTCCTGCACAAAAAACCCTTGTTACTGCCATAGAGTTTCTTGTTTATCCTAGAAATTGAATGATCTTTTTAAGCCATTGAGTGCTTCAGGAGGAGAACCAAAACCTTGAACATGCTTCAGTCTTTCATGGCAAAGCCAAATAGTGAGCTAAGAAGAGGTCTGCTCATTAACACAGGTCTCCATTGCTGTTTCTTCTGGAGATGAATATCTAGCTATAAACATTTATGCTGGATATTTGCAGTTATAAGTGTCAGTTATTTTCACTTCTGCAGACCAACAGGGTCTGCACATGCATCTGTCATGGAAAATGAGGTTCCATGGAGCACATCCTTGTGTGTATCTCTATTCATTTTCATCCTTTTGGTTATCCATTTTATCTCCCACAGTAGCATATCCCTGTGGCAAACATAGATAACACTTACCAGGAAATAATTTTTATTAAAAATGCTTACTAGTAATAAGAATAAATTATTTAATGTATTTCTAGCCTTCTTTAATGCATTGTAGCTGTAAATACAGGGCAAAAAGCAATACCACATGACCATGCTACTTTGGGAACCGTCTATAAACTGCAGTTAAATAGTTCCAAGATATTTATGCAGTGCATAAGTCACATGAATAGAGGTTTATCACAATCAGTAGGAATGCTGGATTTTCATATCACCCATTTGCTGCTTAAGATGATTAGCAGGAAATTTAATTTGCACTAATTAGCCTTAGGGGAGCAAGAAATTAACTTGATGAGTAAATTTCACTTTTTACTATATACCACACCAACATGAAGAAATTTGAGTTAAACCATGAATTAAATCCTATGCTAATACACTGGACTTCAGTTTTTCTAAATTAAAGACTTAAAAAAATTATTATATGCATGGTTAGTGGGTAGGGTTTTTTAGGATCTACAGTTTTACAAGTCTTTCAATGTATTCACTGAACTGACAGCCAGTTCCAGAGAGTATGATATATTTTTGTGTATTAAACTATATTGATATGTGATATTACAGCAAAAGCTTTTATGAGTCCTAACTTTCTATATTTGCATATCTTCATTATACAATATGCTTTATGACTGCCTATACAATATTCCAAATTACAATGCACAAAACAAAAACAGTATTCATAGAACTACTGTGAAAATTCCTTATTTTTTAATTTGCAACACCCATCTCCAAATTCATTTTTAGGTTCAGGAGCCTTTGTTCATATGCTGGCAAAATTTCTATGAAAATAGGTTTTTTAGAAATTACTCTCAAAAGTATACAGCAAATGAGGGAGTCATGAGTCACCACATAGGCCTAATAGACAAATTAGAATTAGGAACTAATAAACTAATCTTGCCTGTGGATGGTGACTTTTCTACCTCATTCTTCCAAGAGACCATTTAGATTGCTTGGTTTTTCCCTATAAAATGGAGGCAATTTTTATGTATCCACCACTCAAAATTACTGTGGATTGATTAATCACATTGCAGAGCAATGAGTCATTTGGTGTGGAAGAATCCATCTATTATAAACTGAAATGTTCTCTTATACCAGGCTTGTGGTTACATTCAAATTTATCTGTAAAGAAGGAGATGGAAAGCATCAGTTGCATGTGAGATAATTGCCTTTGATGTCTGTGCTGCTGCTAGTTTGTGCAGCTGAAGCACACTCAGAAGCTTACTCTCACTACTACATTTTTGGAATTAGACCTCATAAAACTTACCTGACACTACTACTGAAGTGGGAGATATGACTTCAGTGAGAGTTTTGGCCAACTAAATAATTCTGAATTGGGTACATTCAGTCCACAGTTTGGGGCTTAAGTGGCGCATGTAAGGGAGTTCAGGTGTCTGCATAGACTTTCTAGCCTATGACACAAATGCTGGTCTAAAGAGAGACCTGTGGGTGGTCATATATTGTATAACATCCTAGTTTGCCATTCTCAGGTCCATCCCCAGTACTCTGATTTCTCAGTAGTGGCCCTCCTGTTGAATCAAGAGTGCATGTGCATGTGTGTGTATGTATGGATGGGTATATATAAATAGACACGCGCCCACATGCAAAGAAAACATATATGTGTACACAACCCCCTTATATAAAAGTGCTTTGCTTTTTTGGGTGTAGAAGTATATTTCTGTCAATATTCACCACTTGTATTTATACTCTTATGGGTAATATTCAGCTTTCAGTAGTAATTGACATCATGTGGGTTTTTGTGTAATAATTACTTTGGGACAAAAAACCTTGCAGATGGTTTCAAGAGTGACTTTAACTTGCCATCAATGTAAAAAGATTAAATATGATGAGCCCACTCCCTCTGAATGGAGTCAGCCATTTTCATTGATTTCAGTGGGCGCAGGCACAACTTTGTCTCTACAAAAGGGAGAGAACATGTATTATATTCATTAAATGAAAGTTTGATTTCATTGCACTTAAAATTATTCATGTGCTGTTAGCAAACGGTTTGAGATTTTATAACCTAGAGCATTTGCTGAATTCTGCTTTGTATTTTCCTCACAGCAATTGGAAGAACCCTCATTCCTCGTTATTTTAGCACTGTCTTTGAAGGAGGTGTAACAGACCTGTATTACATTCTCAAGCACTCAAAAGAGTCATACCACAACTCATCCATCACAGTGGACTGTGATCAATGCACCATGGTCACTCAGCATGGAAAACCCATGTTTACCAAGGTAACAAGAAGGACTCAATAAAGCATGTTGTTGGTTTTTGGTTTTCTTTTTCAGTGTGTATAACAGTGAAAAATATTGGCTCTTGAATTTTTCTGGTAGACTGAGATTATTACTAATACTGAAAACCCTTGGAGCCATTTAATTACTGTTTCCTATATTCATTATGTGACTGGAAGATTCTGTGGGTATCTCCTGTAATTCTCCCAGAAAGATTGCAAGAGAAGCACATAGTGCCAGGTTGCCAGAGCTATCAGTGTTATGTGAATTAAATTCGCCTGCCCTCCTTTTCTCTGGGTTTGATTTTAAAGCAGCAATGGGATTTTGCATTGCTGGTACCTACCATTTGGGATGGTATGCATTACATTTGATACTTACCTATAAAAGTACTATAATTCTCTAGGAAAACACTGATTTAATACAGTAGGATGCCAGTCCAAAAGGCAGTGAAGTCAATGGAAGGAGTCAATTGATTGAAACACACTCTGGATCAAACAGTTAGTGAATACTCAAATTGATAGTGAATTTTGTTCATACATAAGGCACATCTAGTCCTGTAATTAAAATGGGGCTCAGAGGAAAAAAGAAGCCACTGGTGTGTGGTGCACTGGGGAGCCAGGACATGTGAGCACACTCCAGCCCCTGTAGCTTACACAGACACAGACAGACAGAGGAGAGACCAGATATTCCTATTAGCACCTCTTTGCTGCTCTTAAGAAGCTGTGAGTCCTGGCCATGTGCAGGAGATGTGCCAAAGTTACACAGTAGCTGCTTCATTGCTGAGCTGCCTAAAGCCATTTCAGTGTCATTTCCCTTTGCGTTAGCTTTAATGCAATACAAATAAAAGGGGGTTGGTTTGGGGTTTTTAACCAGTAAATACAGAACACTTTTCTCAAGTCAGTTAGATTATTTTGCTTATCATGGCAGTACATGACGGTGTTTTTACTTTGGAAGGGAGGTTAGGATCCAGCAAGTCAGAGATGGACAAACAGTATGGGGTGGGCTGGGTGTTCATCTTGTGTGAGGGTCCACAGCTGCCTCCTGTGGCACTGCCCTGTTGTGTGCAGTGGGTCTCTGTCTGCTGCAGCCCTGGCAGTGCACAGCTGGTCTCAGCCTTGACATTCCTCTGGCAGATTCCAATATAAACCTCTATGTCCTGCTAGAAAAGTTCAGGTGGGGATGGGATTTGGATTCTAGGAGAAAAATTAGGAGGGTTTATTGCCTGCATGTTTAACATATGACTTGTTAGTAAGAGCAAATCTGAAATAAAATGAAGTAGTTGGTGGAAGAGGGGAGAAGAAATAATACTCTCTCAGAAATAAGTTAGAGCTGAATGTTGTCTCAGCTGTGCTTATTTAACTTCTAGCAGAGACACCAAGGGCACAGATCTTGTACCCAAAGGTAAACTCCGACTCTCACAGCATTGGTGATAGAACAAAGCAGACCTCCCATAATAAGCACCACTGCAATGGGCTGTGTAGCTCCTTGGATCATACCTGCATTTGACCCAGTGCAACTATCATGAGGGGATGTCAATGCAAAAACACAAACTGTTTCAGTTTCACAAGAAAATTCTAAACTGCAAATTCACTAGCTTCTAATATAACAGACTGAAATACTTTTCATTATATATTGAATCAAGAATCCACAGAATAAAGAATCAAATGTATTTCTATTCATTTCAACATTTTTCTATTTAGAGCAACTCACTGCATATAGCAGTATTGGATGAATATATAAAATGGCATTTCCAATTTTTTTGAAACAAATATGGCCAGATCGTGCCAAGCAGTAGGAATATGAATAGTCCAGTTTGTCTTTAGAGGCTAAGAGGTCCTATGATGTCACACACTTTAAAATTGTTTTATCAAGATAGTAATAAATAGTATAAAGAATTTATAATAGTTCAATGACATAAATAAAATGTTGTAAAATACTGAAGCCAAGACCACTATGTTTCAGCACCTGGGAGATGCTCCACTTTTTTCTTCAGGTAGACAAAAGTTTTAGGAGTCCTTCTAAGTATCTTTTTTCACTGTTTACTCCAACTCTGGCACTCCCACTTTATATGTAGACAAATTGTTTTTCTACAGTTATCAATGACTATGTTTCCCAGTGGAATGGCAGAGGTGGGCATTACCTTCACCTCTAGAGCAGTGAGTGCTCCATGTGCTCACTACTCACTTCCTTCTCCCAAGAGTGTGGCCATCAGCTGGATTTTATTGGTGAAGCCCTCAAAACTCAGCGATTTTAATCCCTACTAATAATATCAGGCATTGCCCAGATTTGTATAAGCTTTAGGTTTCTTTTAAAGCAACAACTCGTGTTTGAGAAATGGTAGTTAATATAGGGGGAGCTCTTGTAAAGGGGCCAAGTGTTAGGAGGATGAGATTGTGAGCAAGAAAGCACAGGGCCAAAGTTGGTTTTCATAGGCAGAAGCAGTTGAAATTCCTACAATTAATAAGTGCAGTGAAGGGGTTAAAAAGCTATTGGTTAGTTTGAGAAATGTTCTTTTTTAGTTTTTTCCTGGCCTAGTCTAGAGCAACCACGTGATACACTGAATGCCTGCCAGCCTCTTTCTTGTTGATCCTCCGGAGACCATCTGTGCTGGGGGCATTGATTAGAGTGTGTCTGCTGGGATTACATCTTTTCTGTTGCCATGCCAACTAATCAGCTGATTTTGGTTACCACAGAAACAAAATGTCAGAGCTCACAGTACGGTAACATGAATTCAGCACAACAGAAAATGTTTTCTTAATTGGAGACCCTTTTGATTTTTTGGATTCTATGTAAAAGGCAGCTTTCAGGAAAAAAAAATAGCCCTTTTAAATTAAAAACTGTGCCAATTTTATTGATTAAAAGCAATGTGTAAAATTCTACTTTACATAAGGAAATTAAATTCTTTTATAAGATGTATATTTTTTACCACTGTAATATGAGGAATGTGTTTAACTTTTTCCATTAAAATTTGTTAATGCCAGTGCCTAAAATCTGCTAAGAGCTTTCATGGTGTGAGTTTAAGGAAAGAAACATAGGAGAAGCCACAGGTATTATTACAAAAGAATTGTTTTAAACCTGAAATATTTTCACATTAACTGATCAGTAACCAAGATCTTTGGCCTCAACACATTAACATTAATACAACATATTTTTCTTCTGTGAATCCTTATGTGTGTGCATGTGTACTGTGTAATTTCTCATCATAGTGCAGGTGATGTGAAAATCAAAGGTGAAACATCAGGCACATTAAATATCTGAAAGCATTACTAAGGTGTGTTGAAAAGGGCAGCTGTGAACCTGTTGCAGGATTCTCCTTCACAAGTCTACAGGAATTTGTCTATATAGTATGCCTGTTAAAATTACCTATGTGTTTTTCCTGAAACAATAAGGAGGAAAAGCTGTAAGGGCATTAAGTGAACTGTTAACCAGAAAAGCCTCACATTGACCAAGTGAGAGCTGGGCAAGTCCGAGTTGGAGCTTTTAAAAAGGCTCAACTGACTCAGATGAATCTGGGATGGTTATTTTTCAATCAAATACTAGCTGTATTAAAATTGAAGTTGCAAAACCCCTTTATTTTGAAAGTCATTACACCCTGTTTCCACAATATGTCTGTTGTGGAAACTTGCATTTGCAAGTTTACTAGGAACAGGGATTATAAGTCTAAATATACAATTTTTAAAAAATTCAATAAAGAGTGGTAGTTAATTTTCAAATCAGACTTAATTTTCAGTATTCCACGGTATCCTCAGTCAAGATACCATGCTGGGCTTATATTTTTCACCTTAAAGAAGACCACAACCATGTACCTTTTCCACATAAAATTGTGGAGAGTTGTTTAAAAGTCCCCAGGAATTTATTTTTCCTTTATAGGTAGTACCCACTTGCTGTATTTATTCCTCCTATATTTTTTGTCCTTTCTTAGACAAGATTCCTTGCAAAGCTCTGTGAGCCACTTTCTGTGGAAGGAGCTCCATTGTCCTGGCTCTCCACTGCTCCCCTCGCTCTCAAACCTGTGAGCAATGCAGCTCATAGACCCCATGGCAGGCACCTATCTGGCTTTCCTTGGAAGGGAAGATTAATAAAACTAGATAAGAGGGAAAATATTAAACATCAAAAAAAACCCACATAAAGGAAAACCCAAAAAACAAAACTAAACAAGAAACCCAAAACCACAACAAACCAAAAAAAAAACAAGAAACCCAAAACCACAACAAACCAAAAAAAACCCCCAAAACAACAACAACAAAAAAAACAGCAGTATAAAATACAAAAAAAAATATTATGTAAAAAGCTATGAAAATGATGAAGAAAACCCCAGGTCTGGCCACAGGTATTCAGGGTACTGCCTACTCCAACTGGACGTCAGAGAAAGGTTTATATGCCAAGCTATAGTAAACCTGAAATAGGTTGGGAATGACTGGTTCAGCAACTTGCCATCAAGTGCACTCAGTTGCACCACAGTCACCTCCACTGTGAGGTTCAGTCATTAATTAGCAGTTGCAAACTGTGAGGAAAAGAGAATTGATGCAATAAATAAGATTTAGCACACAATATTCTATGTTTGTAAAATGCTATAAAATCTATAGCATTATAAGTTGCTGTCTCTGAGGTAAGGCCTATGAAGTAATTTTCCCACATTTGTTTTTTTCTCCCCAAGAGGATGAAAAACAATTAATCTAGCAGAGATGAACAATAGAATACTGCTCTGATATTTTTGAATGTTGTTTAATCGATGATACAATACCAATAAAAACAAAATTCCTGGGAATTCATTTCATGCATTTTATGTATTCTAGGTATGCACAGAAGGACGTCTTATCTTGGAGTTTACTTTTGATGATCTTATGAGAATAAAAACATGGCACTTTACTATTAGACAATACAGAGAATTAGTCCCACGCAGCATTCTAGCCATGCATGTAAGTAATCCTTTCTTCATTTGACCTAATGCAAAGAGATGAGATTAGGTTTATGAAGAACTCCGGCAAATTTCACACCCAAGGCAATTAACTATAAATATTTTGGTTTGCCTGCATATATGTCGATTCACAAGTTCTTTCATCACTCCCTTGTTTCTCAGTGCTCTATTATTGCCACTGTTGCTATGTTTTCATTCTATTTTAACACATAATTTTCTTTTTAGTCCCACTTGGTGGTCTGTATGATTTGGGTCCAAAATCTCTTCTTATCAACCTGAACTACACCAAAGTCTGTGAATTTTCATCGTTGTAGGTATCAATGATAAGTTTTAAATGAAGCAAACTGATGTTATCCTTGCATAGACAGAAGATAAGAAATTGCCATATATTTACTTAGAAACCTTTAGAATTTTAATCCAGACCTTCTTTCTCTTCCACATAACAAGACTTTCTTTTGTCACTGAATGAAAACACACACATTAAAACATTTAATTTCTTCACCATAGACCCATTCCTACTAGTAGCACCTGAATATACAAAATCAATTGCAGGCCTATGATTTTATAAAGGCATCAAGTCACTTAGATATCCACAGATAAAGATATATTCATAGTGAGGAGTTTTATATAGCCTAAGCTGGACCTTTTTTCAAAATGCTATTACAAGCCTGAAGAAAGCACCTTTGAAAACTCACCCCACCATTTCTGTCCCAGGATTATCTTCTTTCTTAGGGAACTGATCAACTGAACTCTTCAACAGGATCCCATTAAGGGACTATGAGGATGGCCATGATCAACATTATGTATTTAGGGGGCTGCTAAATTCAAAGTGGAAGCAGGTTAGACAGCAACCAGTAGGTATTAATTTTAGTAATGAGATTGATCTCATTTTAAAAAGGAGGCTGGTCTCACAGGTAAAGCTCCTGGCTAGGGTCAGGGGAGGATTATACTTGCAGTTTTCCCCATTTAATTCTGGGAAAATAACTCAGATCAAAAGGGCTTCTCCAGACTGTGCTTAATGTCACATATTTGGTGAGGTCTTTATGTTGCAGTTTCTTACCCACAAAAAGAAAATAATATGTTTTTTATAACTGCTTTTTTCTGTCTAGTCTCCTGGGACTCACAGCCAACGAATAGATGGCTCAAAGTGTACTGCAATCCCTCAGGAAGCTCACTTGCATGATCAGACCTCTTAGGTCTATCTTTTGAATTGATGCCAGTCTTTAGTCTGCTCCAATTTCGTAAAACTTTACATTTTCCTATGCATATGGAACTCCAGCTTATTACGTAAATTTAGCATCAGTGTGTAACTTTTCCATAACAGTGGCACTGCTTTTCAGGGAACCCTCTCTACATTCCCTAAGCACATAGAAAAAATACCCCAATGAAAACACAGTGAAAATTCTTTCTTCCTTTGTTGTTTAGGCACAAGACCCTCAGGTGCTGGAGCAGCTGTCCAAAAACATCACTCGAATGGGTCTGACAAACTTCACCCTCAACTACCTCAGGGTAAGCATACCATAGCTGATGATGATTGTGAGTATTTTTTAAAAGGTACTATTGGCTTTGAGTCAAAGTAATGAGAGCAGAGCCTGTGTTGATCAGGTAAGAAATTGACCTAACCCTTAATGAGGGTGGAGGAAAAACAAAGACACTGTAGTAGAGATGTAGCTGATAACAATGGGCTATTAAAAAGGCTAAGAATTTTGTAATTCAGTCCAAGCCGTGTGTGGGTAGCTCCTCTTTTCGACAGATTTTCTTCTCAGTTTTGAGTAATGCTTTTATTTTATTGTAGGCGAGAAATTCCCAGTGTTTTTTCCTCTCTATTTCACTGTGCCTGAGAAAATGGCAGCTAATTCTTATTTAAAGCTGCCTGTCTTCTCCAGCTTTTAAACCTTGCCACCTCTCCCAGGCAGAGGCAGGGCTGTGGGAAAGCTCAGCTCCAGCCCTGTTTGCAGCAGTCCCTCAAAGCAGCCCTCACTTCACATGCCTCTGGGAGCCTGAGCTTCCTCCTCAGCCTTGCACCGCATCGAGTGAGGTTTTTTATGATTAAATAATGCATTTGTTCCCATTGCTTTTTGACCCTTAAAGTGCATTCAAAGTTTAGATGTTTATTTTTATTTTTGAAAGTATTCCCTGGTGTGGGCTTACAATACATACACAGAAATACAGATTTGTAGAGTTCATATTTCAAGCTGAAAATTCAGATTTTTCCTAGTTCTAGATGTGCCATCATAAAATGAGGGAAATTGCTCAATAATACACCAAGCTAACTTGGCCAGGACTATGTGATTTTATTTTTAATTTTATGAGTAATTATTCAAGGTACCTTTTTAAGATAACACAAACACCAGAAAATGCAGTTATTTTCAGCCTAATGTAGAGCTGTACCTAAGTGTGTAATTTAGCTGTACTTCAATCAGTTCTATGAACCTTGTAATACTTTCCCTATGGGTAGGTGGAGTCCTGTTCCTCAAGTGCTGTGAACTCCAAGGGAGATTGTGCAGAACTGAGATACGTGGCAAGATCTTTCTCACTCTATCCATACAGTTTATAAATAAGTCTGTAGTTGTACTTATTCTACAATAGCATAAGCCATTGCTGATTGTTGCTTATGTGGTGTTAATGTAAAAATTACTGTTCAAATTACAGCCTGAGTTGTGCAGGGCAGGTCTGGTCTATTGTTACTGAAAGAAGAATGTGGCATAAAACCTCAGAGGAATAATACATTGCATTAGGATTTTTCCATGTGTAAATGTAAGATTAACATGTCTGTGTAATGCACATTGTATTCTCATGGTTAGTTTAGCTTGTGATTTAATATAGAGAGCATCTCTTGTGCTCTGGCAACCCTACAGCCACGCTGTTATTGTTTTGTGGTGGGGCATCCTAGAGCATGTCCTAGAGAAAATCCCACTGGGGATTCCTCCTCAGTCATGGCAAGCATTGCATTACATGTCATGCATTACATGCTTGTGGCAAACTGGGCAGAACATGGCTGACTTAGGTAGGGGATTTCTGTGGTTTCTTTGCAAACTGTCCAGTGGCACCAGGCATTGGCCACTCGTGAGGTGTTTCATCCCGGTGACAGGACACAGTGTCTCACACTTGGGCTGGCCCTCAGCAGCCGTGGGGCTCTGCAGCCTCTGCGAGGTTCTGGGGGCCAGGCAGAACTGGCAGCACCACCTCTGTCACTGACCCCTCTCTGTGTCCTCTGTGGTACAGCCTGGGATTGCTCAGGGTGACAATGCAAATGACAAAGGTAGGGCTCCGGTTCGGAGGCAGCTGGCATCAGGCACCCATGCTGCTCCCTCTGTCAGCACCGAAAAAAAAGCAAGAAAGGAAGAGGGAGAGGGAGGCAAAAAAACTCAGAAAAAGAAAACTGGGATCAAGATAAGCACTAGGGAGATGAGCAGTGAAGTGGAAGGGGATAAAAAGATAAAGTCTTACTTTTTTTCTTCTTCCAGACTAGTTTTGTTAGCTTAAAGACGACATTAGGTCTCTGGGTGCAAAGCTTCCTCTGGCTCCTGCTGTGGTGATTCCAAGAGGAAATATTTTTTTTTCTCAAGCCAATCTTTACATGTCTCTTTTTCTTGTGGTGAGGGATTGATCATTCTTCTCTTTTTTCATGTGTTCAGCTCATCGTGGCAGCGTGTATTACATGGTGTATTTCCATTTTGATTTGCTTCTTTTCCAGTTACTTTCCTCTGTTAATTTCAACATGAAAATCTTTTCTGAGCTCATGCACTAAAAATCATGTAATAAAATAATGTGGTAAATTTACATAGTTTTAAGGTGTTCTGTTTTGTAAGTTTTTAAGTCAGCATTTTATGATATTTTATTCAGTCTTCCCAGTGTTTAGTAATTAGCACTGTTGCATGATTTTGAATAAGGATCAGAAACTAAGCATAAAAATTATTTTCTTTTTTTTCTGCTGCACACAGCAAAGGCTTGTGATACTCATAAGCAAAAACTCCACTGATGGGTGGAATTAATCATTTTTATTCTCCAGTGTGCACACAGCAGCAAGCTGTGCTGCAGTTTCTTCAAAGGCAGAATTTAAACCTGGATTTCAGATGGTTGTGATATAAAGGCATAGCCTGTGTTTTTTGGGCTCTAGACATCACAGAATGCTAAATCATTGCTAGTTGGGATAATTGCAGTTGCTGGCATGTAAACCTCCATTCCTGAGTGCCACATGCTTGTACAGCCACAGCTTTGGATGTGTGCCCTGGTTTGTCTTCATTCACACCAAGTAAAGCTGTCCAGCATAGAAGAACATTGATTTTGTAAACTATATTTAATACAAATTTAAAATATATCTTCTTGGAACCTGGAAATTAAGTGTTTTGTCCTATGTCAATTGCCAAATGGTCTTTCTCTCTGTTTTCTCTGGCTCTGTATAAAACCATAGGCTTCCTTTCTTTCTAGTTACGAATTTGTTTTGTACCAGCATAATTGATTACCTCATCAATGGGGTCAGCGTACTTTGCTGTAGCTGCTGACTAGGAGTTGAATAGGCTGTCTCAGACATAATGAGCAAAACCTTGTAGGTTTTAAATTAATATCAAGCTTTTTAAAATGTAATTTCTTATCAAGTCATCAAGTAGTAGATATTACAAACTATCAGATAATAAGGCCAAGACCTAGTCTCAGTCAGTATGAGTCCAGGAACAAACAGGAATCCTGTAAGAATTTGAAGGTGAAGATAACATTGAGAAGAACAGTTTCCACCAAGCTACAATAATTTAGTCCCCACGTTACCTTACTTTTTTCTAATTTTTTTAGTTGCTGAGCTATTTTATCTATATTTTCAATGCATAATGGATTTGAATGTACTCTAAAAACAATAGCTCTGTAGTAGCAGCACTATGCAAAATTTGGAGCTCTGCTATTTCTTGTTGCCGTCTATGAAATCATTAATTCTCTTAAAATTTCTGACTTTATTAAACAGTCATCCCCTACTGTCAATTAGGAAGGATTACTTGGCCTGAGCCTTGAAAGATAGCTGTATCTTGCCCAGCTGGTTTTCAAAATTTGTCTCCACTTTTTTGTGCTGGCTGGGCTGGAGTGATTTCTAAGAGCTCTTCCCCAGGTGTATCTGTTGCATCCTCCCCACACTGTGGTCTGCTCTGGTAGCCAGTTTATTGATGTTAACGGAGCTAAATCTGCACGTGCCCCTTGCAAAGTTAGAGTTAGTGTGGCAGAGCGCTCATATTCTGTGTCAGGAGAGGTATCTAGGCAGGGGAATGCACACTCCCATTTCCCCTTACATCCTGTATGACTCTATTAACCAGGGCTTGCTTATCTGAGCTACAAATTATCCAATTTGTTTGTTCTCTATATAAGACAATAACGAGGTGTTACTATTGCTACACAGAGGACAATATTTTCTAAGCCCTGACTTTCACTAATTTAGTTCCTTGCTAGACACTTTTGGGTTTCTTCTGCTGGGAGGATAATGTGAATTATTTAATGTGACACAATTTTCTAAAGGCACTACTTACACTGTAATCAAAAGCCGTTTGTATGTATACCCATTGTGGACACAAAATTTTCTTTTCCACATGCAAAACAGACACACATACAACACTTGAATGTGAAGAGAAATTTGATTTTCTAAATATGGTTTCAAGCATGGGAAAGATTTGAAGATTTTGAAGCTATTTTGCTCCTAATCCATAACAGTTTGTGGCAGCTATCTGGCCAATATTTTATGGCCGTTGGTGTGTCTTCAGTGAAGAAGGAGAAAGTTTACATGCATACATGTTAAGGATGCAAAGTCAGGTGCTTGGGGGAAAAGAAATGCTATATTTATAGTCAGACATGCCATATGAACTCATTTCCCTTTGCGAGTTGTGTCGTCACCATGGAATGACATCATCAGGCAGTGCAGGTAGTGCATGGGCTAACAGCCCTCACTCAGTAGCTCCAGTGCTGTTCATTTTCTTGTAGGATGTTCACCAGTATCATTCTGCTGCCCAGGGAAGTGGTGGAGTCACAACTCCTGGAGGTATTTAAGAGACCTGTGGAGGTGGCACGCAGGGACATGGTTTAGTGGTGGCCTTGCCGTGCTGGGTTAGTGGTTGGACTCCATAGCCTTTGAAGTGCTTCCCAACCTAAACGACTCTTTGATTTCATCTCTGCTGCCAACCTTAATGGCTGCATAGCTTCTACCAGCTAAGGAGGCGTTGTCCTTCCAGTGCACACGTGTGGCATTAGGCCACGTGGAGCTGAGGCAGTCCCCACATGCTCTGGGGCAGTCTGAGGGGAAGTCCTGTCTGAGAAGACAAGGGCCTGATTTTGCACTTGGGATTTCATTTTTCCCCATATACTAACAAAACTATTGCTGCTGGATACAGCCTGTAGTCTAAAGCTGGCTATGTATTTGAAAAAGTAGATGGTGTTTCTGGAAACACACACTAGTGAAAATTCTTTTTCCATGACTGAGTATCACAGTGAAGCTTGGGAACAAGGGTAGTTTGTTAAAGCAGCACTGGACTACTCTA